ATAATATCAGAAGCTTAATTACACATTGCATTTTCAATATTGATTTTATTCCTCTTAGTACATAAAATAATATATTTTGTTTTCTTGCATTCATTTTTGTTACAAAAAGTAAGTTATGCATGTGTACACAAAATGATCAGTCGGTCAGTTTAGATGATCTTTATGGGGGATTTCTAGAAATATATATTGTATACAATGACAATATGGTGTTTTACTCCAAGTATATTTTTTTATTTATTTTTGCAGTTTGAAAATGAAATATTTAATTCTTTTAATAAGAATTCACATTTATTACATTATCCTCAAGAAATTCTAGTATAAACATCAGCAACATTAATTGTTAATTAAAAAGAAGTAACAAAAACAGATGAAAATTAAATTTTGATAAAATTTAGTTGCTTTTGTATTGTGCTACCTTAAATATAATTCTAAGATAAGCATGATATAATTTCATGTAAATATTCCGAATATTTCATTAACTCTCTGAACTCGACTATCAATTACTTAAATCATAATGCTCTTTAATTTTCACCCATCCTAAACAAAATGTGGTTCTGATTGGCGTTATCCTAATTTGTGAATAGCCTTCAAAGTTGAAGAGTGATTGACAGGTAAATATATAATAGAATCATTTGTGATTGACAGTAACCCCACCTTATAACCATATGGCACAATACAGCTTATGCTACATTTACTTTTGACCCTTTCGGGACTGTTATAACTTAAATGTAAATAATGTACATGTTTCAACAATTATAGCGTAATCTGTATTTTCTTTTGACCCTTATGGTACGTCAACTGGACGCTTAAGCTGCATATGCTATTTATTACAGCATAGGCTGCATTTAATATAGCATATGCTGTATTAATTATAGCATATGCTGTATCAATTACAGCATATGCTATATATTATAGCCTAAGCGACATTAATTACAGCATAGGGTACATAAATTATAGCTTAAGCTGTAGTTTATATATCATATGCTGTATTAACTGTAGCATATGCGAAATAATTTACTTTTGACCCTTTCCGTACGCCATAAATTGGATCATATTTCCGATTGTAACATTTTGACTGAGTCGGTGTAGATTCGTATGGCTGGTGATGCATGCTTAGCTGGATACGCTTATCCTGTTTACACATCTGGTACATTTTTTGTTCTTCTCCTTTATTAAAATAATACCTTTCATATTTTGAATGATCATACTATAATCACTATAGTAAGAACCACAGTAATTCATATCATGATAAAACTTTACACTAAATAACAATGAATAGGGGTTGTGCTAAAATGAGAAATGAAATAGAAACGCAATGAACGAAACGAAACGAAACGAAAATAAACGAATCAAAAATAACAAAATGAAATAAAAACAATTTTATATTATTTAAAAACGTTATTTTTTAACATTTATGAGGAAATAATCGTCAGATGAAAGACACGGGTGTGACAAAAGCAGGAGGTGTGTCTAATTATCCCTATCATCCATGGGAACTGTGTGACATATATTACATTGGAAACTTTAAAAGAATAAAATAGGGGAAAACAACATCAAAACCTCATTTATCTTTTTTTTCGGGCAAAATCGGTTCCAAGCATCCATATACAGTTAATTTCAAAGGATACAACCATCTTCATCAAAGTCAGAAAATGCGAGGTCAAATAAAGGCGGTAATTCCTATGAAGTTCTTTTTTGCGCCATGCATATGTTGTTCATCAATGGGTACTATATATATAAGTACTGTTTCCAATTTAATACATCATTTGAAACTCCACCAAAATGGAGACTGAAAATACCCAAAGGTAAGAATATTAAACATTATCAATTTACTGATATGGGTCTGATATGTATTTTTTTATAATTTTGTTAAGTTATTACTTAGACTACAGATAGATTAACTCGCTATCTCATGATATTTATTTTAGTTTGTCAGTTCCTTTTTGTCATTTCTAAACTACTCATTCAAGTTTCAAGTTACTAACAATCGTGCATTACAATGTATTGAAGTTTTCTCACAATCCTAACTATTTTTGAAATGCTTTTGTGCATCTCTTTATATTTTGTTTTTTGTTATCGTCTGAATCATTTTTAGGAATTTCCCTTCTTACCAAAGCATCTACTTTGTCATTGCTATATTCTTTGTCTATTTATTTTTATTTTTGTTTTCGGGGGTGGGGTGGGGGCTAATCCGTTTTGTATCTACAACTCCCCCCCCCCCTAAAACCCCTTATTACATTTCCCTTATTACATATTATTGAAAGTTTCTCACAATCTTAACCATATCATGCTCTAGAGCACCTCTTTTTTATCAGAATTATTTTCGCATTTCCTTCCCCAAATCGTGTGCACACTACAGCTAGTATACATTTATATCCCGTTCTCCACAGATAGATAAACTCCTAATCAGAATTTGAATACTCAGAATGTCAGTCTAATTAAAACCACTAGCCCCCACTATCCACTTGCGTTTGTAGGGACTGGCTTAAGTCAGACTGTCAGAATGTTCACCATATACTAGATACTTCCATGAGCACCAAACTTTAGGTCCTCGCAAAATTAAAGCGGTTTGTGTTCGTACCTGTGGACTTTTACCACGTGGACTAGCACGTGTAATATTCCGATTCAGCGTGTCTGTCTACAACAGAGTTCATATTTACACCAAATTAATAAATTCTTGTCATAATATGCCTGTAATACTTGCCACTGGAGACATACTATAGTAACCTAAACCAATCAATGTCTAACTCCTTGCATATGTTTTTCTCATCTTACGAAGGTAATCAATTCGATGTACTTCCTTTATATCATATTTAAAATTTAAAGAATAGATAATGGCAGGGTTCACCACAGAATGAAAAACAAGGGTGGGGGATATAAAGATCATCAAATCAGAGATGGTATGTTGCGTTGTCGAACCGTTCCTTGCTCACAATTTTTTTTCCTTACTTGTTGCTAATTTTATGCCTTACAAGTTGTTGTCATATATAGCTAATTTGCAAAGGGGAGTCTCACATACATTTTGTATTTTGTCCTATAAGTGGTCACCACACTCTTAGAAACCTGTTAAATAGAGAGAAGTAGAAGCGTAATATGGCTTCCGAGATTGCAGGAATATTAAAGCTTGCACTTCTGTAAATAAAGACAATGCAATTTCCCATAGGAACTCCTTTTACGACTAAAACTGCCACTTTTACTATAAAGTTTCAGCGTAAAAAATTATATCCTAGAATGGAAAGTTCATATGTACTTCTATTTTTTTCAAAGGTCAAAATATAGGGCTGTGTGGCATATTTTCAACATTTATATGCCGCGAACGTCTAAGAGTTTAAACCTTATACTAAAATTATGTAATACCCCTCCCTTCACTTTGGGTCTTCTTCAGAATTCAATTCAGCCGCTATTTATGTGTATTTATATTGGTAACATTCCAAGTCATGTCTCTACGAGAAGATACATAGAGATCATATCCGGGAACCAGCAGGTAAACAAAACAAAATATCTATGAATATTATATATATCCTCCCCAAAAGAGGCGTGGTTTGTGAAACAGCTGTATTTACAAAGTGCAACCTATAGTTAGGAATCAACTTATTGATTTTCATGTGATAAAGTATGCATTATACAATTCATATATTATCTTAAGGATGTAGGTACTTAGGTGAGGTTTAGGAATTTTTGTCAGATGTTCGGACTCAAAGGGTAACGATAAAGGGTAAAATATTTTTCCCCATAACACCCATCTTTCTTTTCATTTAAGACTTCAATAGCTCATAAAAGGTCATTTACCAAAATTTAAGCAGATTGTAGATTTATTTTCTTTCGATTTGAGACCCAAATAATACCAATGCAAATATAAGGTAAAAGTCCGAGTCATCCTTTCCCCGCCATTTAAAAAAAATTAAATATCTCGAAAAGGAGCTCCATAACCTATAAATATTTTTAGCTTATTTTGTTCCTTAACTAATGCTCTTCTGACTTATAGTATCAATTTTAAATTCTAGATTTGTTAAATTTCACCGAAGTACATCTTTAAGGCGCTTTCTTTCATGGCAAATTTAGATTTAATTTAAATTGCCTTGTGGAAAATTACATGGTGTGATATAAATCAGAAAAGAATTATTAATAATAAAAACATATTTAGTAGTAATAAGGAGCTTGTTTTGTCTTTTTAGTGAATTTCTTCATGTATTTCCTGTTTTCATATATTACATTTTGATTTTTTCTCAGTTATTTGAAAACCATGCTGACCTTGTAATAATAGGGACAAATAAACACAAACTTGTTCAGTGTCACTGATTAGATGTGGGCTTTTTTTCAATGAATAATTATTATTTAAACAAAAAGATTATATATTTTACAAATTAAATAATTAAATCACCAATCAAAATCTGGCATTTTAATGTGAAGTATAATAGATAAAAATGTGGCGTCGCCAGTGAGAACTTTACTTAAAAACGACTCCCAAATAAACAAACATGAGCAAACAGAAAATAAAACAAACAAAAAGCAAAATTAAGAAAAAAAATCAAATTTAAGCAAACAATACAAAAAAATGACCAAACAAACACAGGGAAAAATTATAACAAAGAAAAACAAAAAGAACTTAAAAAAAAAGGCAAACACACCAAAACAAAAGATGCACCAACAAAAAATAGAGCAATATTAACATCGACATAGTTGGTGTTAATTTTTCATGTATTTGCTCGTTCCACAGTCAAACTTTTCGTCTTTGTTTTGTTTTGATGTCACCCTGAAAGAAGTTTCCCTTAAACAGTGTACAGAGCAATTTCCTCAATACATGTATTTTTACCAGCAGCGACTTATTTCAAAAATCTTCGAATCTTCTTTAAAATTCAAAGCAGTTTTCACTGTATTAAACCTTTATGTATGTGTACACTGAGAGTTATTAGATTTAATTATAAAAGTTGATAGAATGTTGTAAACCGCATTTATTTTTAAGTTAGCTTAAACAAAAGATTTATTGTACTTGGTTTTGATCTATTGACAACTTATAATTTACGTCGAATTTTTATCGGAGTTTCCATTGCAAGGGAGATGAAAGTATGTCCTACATTTATGTCACGGACCAGTATTTTGTAATAGATTTCGGACAAATCTGACTAAATGTATTTCGAAACTCTCGATAAGAAGTGGTTTTCCTGAGACATCGTTCTTACCACAGCTGGAATTTTATCATTAAATCACATAGGTGGCGCCTTTAGTGGCTATATAATATAAGAAGGACTTATTTACAGACCATTTACTACAGAAGGAATTTTAGATATATACTTAGGATGAAAGTGATCATATTTTTAGGTTTAGTTGGGTCCATTTATGGATTTAATTTGGGGGGAATCATTGCAGGAGGTGTAGGTCATGTTGATTCCAACGACGCAGGACTCATGGGAGCTGTCAACGACGCTAGTAAAAGCGTTAATATGATGTCAAACAATATGATGCATCTGACCACAGTTCATGTCTCTCATGCAACTAAACAGGTAAAACATTAAAGTTTTAGTTAAATTCTATCAGCTTATTCTTATTCAGTCAAGGTTCAAAAAGCATTAGAATCTCTATTTTGAATAGTGTGCTATGTTCAGTTTTTCAAACAATAATTCAATATAGATAGATATCAGGGCAAACTTTCAACTGAATGTCCTGTTAATTCTATTTACCAACGTGTTATGAATTTGACATTCAAAACTGTTGACGTTGGGCCGATCAGAAAAGGGTTTTCCAGCAATAATTGTAGCTTGCACTGAAATTGGTTTAAATATAGTTGTTTACATCCTCGGTCTTTGGTCTCAGGTGGATATTTATTGGCAATCGTACCACATCTTATTCTTTTTATACTAAATGAATAAAAGGGGAAGATTATACATCAAGGAAATCACAACAACAAAAATATCAACATACGTTTATAAAAATTACTATCACTGGGTTGGTTCTGCTGTTGGCGGACTGCATGTTGATCCTTTAGAGTACTATCCTGCCATGCATGTATTGCAGTGCTTCAAAACTGACTTGAACGAATAATACACCAAAATGTCAGTCAGCGCTATATCTGCTACACAGGAATTTTTTTTATATATTATGCAAACTTACAATTTTTTCAAAATTTTGCACCGAAGGATATCCGTAACCGATCGCGATATGAATTAATTTGTTATCAGAATGACGATATTTGTCAACTTTTACTTCCAATAGAATTTTGGACTTTGACGTTTTGAATAAATGCTCAAAAATGGCCAAAATCTGTCAAAAAGTTTCTAAAGAGGCATTTATAATTTGATGACAGATTTAGAAATATGCCACTATCTTATACGAATCTAAAAGTACATACATGAGGTTTGTTTGAATTGTTTAACATGTTGGGGCCTTTTACCTTTGACTATATATGGTGTGGGTTTCGCTCATTATTGAAGGACGTACGGTGAACTATTATTGCTTACACACACGTCGCTCTGGACTCTTTGTGTAATTGACAATCATATCACATCTCCTTTTTATACAAATACGTGAACACAATTACTGTATTTTTTCTATAATAAATTCAACATTTTATTCATCAATTTGTTGTGATCGTAACCCAATGTAAATATAGTGTGAATTTGATCCTTTTATAGGTTATTAGAGGATTGAAATATACATTCGACGTGTCATTCAAAGAAGCAAGCGCATGTAAAAACACACAAGAACATTATTACGCTACATTAACAGAATGCCCACCTGCTGACGGTGTCCAAACAGTGAGTATCAAATATATGTCCTTTGACTGTCATTGACAATTTGTTAATCTTTCATTTCTTATTTATTATAAGATGACACTTTTTTAATTCGGTTTTAGAAAGAACAGTTTAAAAGATGCTGCCTCAGCTGTTTTTCAGACAAGTTGATGTATGCTGATATGTGGTTTAAAAACTTTGAAACTATTACAAAATACGCTATTTAAAGTTTTTTTTATTCATAATTCGTAATTTGTGGAAACTATCGTGATATTCGAGGATATCTGAAGTACACGGTGTTTAAACTTTTTTGATCTCCGATAAAAATGGAAAAGACATGTCAATTAAACATAGAACGTCTTTAAATCTAATATAATAGTAGATTTTCAGCATGGACATATTCTAAAAAAAACCTCTTACACATGAAAATATAAAACCATGTTAATAAAATAATAGTAATTGAATAATGGAATTCGTTAAAATTGATTATGTTTAAAATGGTGATAAGAATGACAACGATGTATGTGTGCATGAACGCGAATCACCTCTATTACCATCGAAATTCGACTTCATTGTAGATATTAAAAACATCGCTTTATTTATTTCCATCGAGATTGGACTAGTTATTCAAACTCAGAAAATTAGATCTAACCTTCTTGATATAAATTACATTTCTTTCATTTTACAGATGCATTTCCATTGTTCGGTTATAGATGTTGCCTGGGAAACACCTAGGTATACCACAACATGTACCATGAAATAAGTAAGTACGTCGGTATAACTAAAATGTGAACTTTGATACGAACGTTAAAATTAAGGAGGCACATAGTTCCAAGAATGTTTAATAATTTCAACGATTTTGTAGATTATGAACTACGCTAACACAGTATTTTTAAGAAATACCACATACAGTACATAGCTTGTGGCTCCTCTAATGTTGTTTTTTTTTAATCAGAGGGGACTCGGTGACCGAGTGGTCTAAGTTGTCAAAATAGGTCGGTGGTTCTCTCAGGGCACTCCACCAATAAAAACACACCGCCACGCAATAGCACAATAGTGCTGAAAGTGGCGTTAAAAACCAAACAATCAATCAATCAATTTTGATACAGGGTGGTAGATGACAAGGAAGCATCTCGACTTAGGAGTTTTGAGTATATATGTTAATTGCTTGACAGCTGGATTTTCAAATATTGTGGCCTCGAGCATCACTGAAGAGACATTGATTGTCGAAATGCGCATCTGGTGCAGAAAAATTTGTACCGTTTATGTTATTACTACAGAATATCAGATTGGAGAAGGGTAATTGTATTTCAAAAGATTGATTGTCTCGTGTATACCCTTTCGATATCCTTTCTTTAAAACGTTTTAGTGGAATAGTGAAATTGATTACTCATTATTTAATATCATTTCTTTAAATGTGCATTTAATTGAGAAAGATGCTTTTCTGGAAAGTTAGATTATAATGGTAGATTTTCAGATTCAGAAAGTTGGAAAAAATTAAAAATTCTGTAAACTAATTTTGTAATAATAATTTATCTCGAGTTATCCTTTTTTGTTTCAGAGAACAAATGGAAGAAGACGCCAAATCATGGAATAAACATTTACCTTTGTTTTATATATGAATGAAAATATATATTTACGATCAAGTATTATACATTTTAAAGTACAACAGTCTAAAAACGTTGAAGAAAATACAAATAAATAAATTTATGTTATTGTTCTTGAAGGGATTTTTTGTCGTTTTCCCTATGTTGTTCCCAATTTTCGTTGATCTGTTAAGATTTGTTTCTTCAATATCTTCTGAACCATAGATACCAATACATTTACAATTTATAGACTAATTTACATACAATGTAGGCGGCAATGCATTTTGAAGATTACATGGTGACCGCTAGATGTTGAGGTTTGGTTACTATGTCAAAATCAGAGTGATTTTCATAATTTGTTTTGCCGTGAACAACGACTGGTGATGACGACACTACTTCAATATGAATGTATCAGATTCTTGTTCAAGCAGTTTCTTTCCGATTAACCAACACTTGGTAGTTACCCCCCATGAAGTCTCTACCTTATATACAGTTTTTTTTATCCTGCATTATATCGTATTTCCATGATCAGCGAATCGAAAAATCTGACTCATAACCCATACTTGAAATAGATTGGAAAACGTTCCCTACATACTGTGCATGTGATTTAAGTTACACGTTAATCTGAGTCACATATGACCACAAAGCAGGGGCGGATCCAGGATTTTAGGTTAGGGGGGTGGGCGCAAACTTTTTTTTGAGGTAAAATTATCGAAATTATCTCTTCAGATACTTTATTAAGCCGAGGACAACCAATGCTTTGCAAAATTTAGGGGGGCGCACGCTCCCACCCGAATCCGCCCCTGCAAAGGGACTAGTGGGTGCAAATACCGAACACAATAACGCCCATACCATCGTAGGTGGAGAATAGAAAACATTAACAAAACGAAAAAAAACGAACCCAGCTGTTTTCTCCATCTTTGCTACTTGATTTTTTATAAGTTGTTCTTGGCTAGCACTAGATTTTAGTAACTGCGAGTAGAGTACTCCTAGAGCTGTATGTTGTGTCGTTAGTGTTTTTGTGCTTTGTATCGTTTTGATGAGTTTTATAGTGCAAACAATACCGTTAAATATGTGTGTGTTTGTAAATTGATTTTCGTGCATAGTCTTAGGTTTCTATGTTGTGTTTTGTAGACTGTTGTTTGTCTTTTCGCTGTCCCTCGTTTTGTTCAATAATATTGAGGGGCCTGATGGGGGGGGGGGGGGGGGGGGGGTCTCATCACGATTCACGAGTTGATGTTTTTGTCAATCACGATTCACAGAAAATAAATTTCCATGATCACGGATCACGAAAATATAAAAAAAAAAATTAATCTGTAGAAAAACGGATCACGATAGCGGAAATGAGCCGATCACGAAGAACGAAAATAACCCATCAGGCCCCTCAATATTGTTCATTTGTATGCAACTTATGAGTTTGAAGATCCCTTTGGTATCATCCGCCTCGAGTTCTATCTAAGCAAATGTGCAATTTGTAGATATTTGTAAAAGATAAGGGCTCTTTAATTGTTTTCTTGTGGATACGTGTAAATGTGTTACAAGTGAGAAGTTTAGCTAGCTATAAAATCAGGTTTAATCCACCATGTTCTACATAAGGAAATGCCTGTATCATGTCTGGAATGAACAATTTCCTAAACTGTAAAATACATTTATGTCATAAAAAGAAAATATTTCAAGATCTTTCTCTTATACATAACAAATTATTTGTGACTTTTTGTCCTTTCAAATTTGTGACTTTCTGTCCGTTTACCGGTATGATACACCAAAACACGCTGTAAGTTCTTAAATTGGGTGTCCACGATATCTTTAATTAGCACAATCAAGTGCAACGGTTTTGACTTCCAGTTTGTAACTGATTTGAGAACGTCGTTCAGTGATTCACATTTGTTTTTCCATTCGTTTGATGTGTTTAAGCTTTTGATTTTGCCATTTGATAATGGACTTTCCGTTTTGAATTTTCCTTGGAGTTCGTTTTTTTTTTTTGTTATTGCACTTTTCCTTAAACGGAAGTAGCAAAGACTTGCCGATTCAGTCATTATAACGTGTCTAAGGATACTAACTGCTCTTTCTGCAGGCTGTTGACACCTCGCTGTTGTGAGCTATATTAAGCTAAAACTCTTAATAAACGTGTACCTATATAATATTTAAATGTTATCTTTTGGAATATAGATGCAATACTTGCTGGTGGTTGTTAAGCATGACCCAATCAACCAATCAATCAATCTGCATAGTGTTGGAAAGGATAGAGTCCTTTTTTATATACTATTGAAGTCATCTCATTACTTCATTCTATAGTCTCATCCATGCACCTTTAAACATATTCAAAGTTTCAAAATAATGAGATTCTTCTTAATATAACTATCTATGACTGGGGACAGAAACCTAAGTGTTTCAATAATTCGACAGTTTGTAAACGGCAAATTTACAGAAATGAACATAATCAACAAAAGTATTCAATTTCAATACAAAAAGGCTGACTACTAGGTTGGTGATACACTCGGGGCCAAAACGTCATACAGCAGTGACATTGACCCAGTGGTTGTAAAAACTCATCAAAGATTACGGGTTTATTATTTGGTACGTCAGACGCTCGTTTTGGCAACACAGGTATCAATACTGACACTCAAATCAAAACAGATGGAAGGCAATAATCAAATTCGAAGTTGAAGAGCATTAAAATAGAAAAGTAAAAAAAATAGTAACGATATAAAAACATTGAGTATTGATTCCTTTGAATGATTAGTTTAAATCTTATGCAAATTATCTGCGAAATTTTGGATTATATATCGAATTAATGAACTTATTGTCAACATTCTGGTGCATGCAACTTGCGAGCTTGGTGATAAGTGAAAGAGCTAACAGACCTAAATGTAACACCAAAGTTGAAAAAAAACCAACTAAAAATTGAAATTTGACCAGTAAGATCGTTATTAGCACAAACACAACTAACAAAACGATAAATGACATTAAGGTCTTATTAAGAGTAGACTAGAATGAAGAAATAAATCTTTCATAGCATGTTCTATGCCTATGTTAACATGGTTAGGCATTATATTTGTCGATATCTTTATAAAATGTTGACAAATATGATGTCTACCTAATGTTGAAATGAACATAGAAATCATCATAGAGCATGGTATGAAAGAATTATGTCGATTTAGATATGGAAATTTATAACTTTTTTCCTTCAAAGCGGCGATATTAGACACGTTAATATAGAGAGGCAGCAACAGGAATTTAATGAAAGAAAACCGGTCTTGAAAACCAATATGTCACAATTAAAAAGTGAACAAATATATGATGACTTACTTTGAAAATTATTCTATAAAATTTCCCAGCAACCAACACCAACAGAAATGTCCATTTTTATCTCCAGTGTCGTTCAAAAAACAATTAACGAAGCAAAAACTTATCAAAAATACCAGGCTTTAAATTTGGTAGTGCATCGACACAGTGGTTGTAAAATCTCATCAAAGATACCAGTTTTATAATTTGGTTCGCCAGACGCGCGTTTCGTCTACAATTAGCGTTGCAAGTTTTTGAACTAGAAATTAAAGACACCACAGCTTCTCCTCTACCTAACTTCTAGACATTTACAACGAATTTGACAACAACGGTCATCTAAGTACCAAACCTATGACAAACGAGGCGACTTCAATTTTAAATAATAAACTTTCCTCGCCTCAGTAGCAAAATACCAAGTTTACCCTTATATGGAGTATACATTTCTCAATTCATACGATATTCAAGCGCTTGCAGCTGCTACTAACCCTTTATAAAACATCATCAGTGTCTGAGCCCAAAAATAATGTGCCAGGGTTTTGTCAAAGAACGTCTCATCCTTTTTTTTTTAAGTCATCGTAAAGTACCAAGACCCAATAGATAAATATTCAGTGTCTACTTCAGAAATAATACAAGATGGTTTTTGAGTTATAGATTCGAGGTGCTGAAGTTGTGTATCTATTTACTTTTTTTCCCGTTATTTTTCTTCGTGCTATTGTTTTTCTTTTCGTCGTATGACTTTTGATGTGACTCGGTACTTATGCATCCCGCTATCTGGTTTTTTATTTTGGGCATTCCTTGTTCAGATGGGTCATGAAGTGCGATTCGGATGTTTTTACAGAGTTGTTTCTATTTTGTTTACCCTTAGTATTTATATTTCACTTAATTTGTACTTTATCGAGAAAGTGTATACTTTATACGGTATGAACTATCAACTACAAAAACTCTTTTATCTGCGTCTTTGTCAGTTTACTATCACATACAGAACTGTTTTGTTGACGTCTTTGTCAAATTTACTATCAACTACAACACCTTCTTTGTTGACGTCTATGTTAGATTTATTTGTATGTTTGTTTGAATTTTTGAGTTAGTTGTGTTGTATGTATGTGATGTATCTTTACACATTTCGGTTGCTGGATCCCAATTATTGTCATATCAACCTATTTTGTCTTATTGGGTTGCTCATCCAATTTTGTCCATATAACGGAACTATATAATATCGACAGGATGAAGGATCATACATGTCAATAACTGAATAGCAATATATTTTCAGTTAGGTATTTAACTTTTGAAAATAAATCATTGTTATAACCGATACAGTTCTTACTACAACGTTAAATTGATAACCTTTGAAAATATTGTTTTTCTCAGGAGAAATCAGAGGTTTTATTTTCAACGGAGTTGTCAATTGAGTTTGAGTATCTTTTGACTCTCTTCTACGGTTAGAAAACATGGATTGCAGGGATCAACAATCCAAGTATTCATCAGAGTTGTTATTTGCTATTACCAATATAATTTCAAAAGATTGTTATCCTTGACGCATGTATCAAATATCGAATCAAACAATTGAAATTGACATGTTTTTTTTTTTGATTTGGCAGAAAATTTAAAATGTTAATATTGACGTCATAAAAAGACCGATGATAGGATAATACGTGAAGTAAAAGAAATTGATTCTGTCTAGTCATTTCTTTGACTACGCCAGCTGTATTGTGACAATGACGAAGACATTTAGCTAGAAATTAGGGCAAGATAGGGTCCATGTTGAACTTACACCTCTCTGTAGTATTAGAAGAGAAAGTATGATTATTTAAAGCAAAACGGTATCGGTAAATTCTTTTAAATGAAAATCAGACGG